GAGAAACAGAGAGACAGACAGACAGACAGAGAGACAGACAGACAGATAGAGAGACAGACAGGCAGTCAGACAGACAGACAGACAGAGAGACAGAGAGACAGACAGAGTGACAGACAGAGTGACAGACAGATAGACAGACAGACAGAGAGACAGACAAACAGACAGACAGAGTGACAGACAGACAGACAGACAGACAGACAGACAGACAATAAACTAAGGGTTAATAAACTAAGTTTTAATATTTTATCATAAGAATTAATGTAAATGGTTTTATAAAACGATAAGCTCCAGATTTCAGCTCATAAATCCGCTGGTCAGAGCAGCTCAGGCTGTTTATATATAGATGAGATTCAGGGTGGAGTGCGTTCACAAAAACAGCTGCAAGAATTCAGTCCAGAAGAAAAGCGTGGAAGACGTCCAGAACCAGAAACCAGTGTCTGACTCATCTTTTTTTAAAGCTGTTCTTTTTTCAGCCTTAGTCCACAAACATATGCAAACAGCATGTGTCCTCACACAGAAAAACATGCCCAGCATCACAAACTGAGTGAACAGAGTCACCGAAGAGTCAGAGAGGTTTCATATAAACACAAGCTGCGTGAGGTCCGTCTGCCGCTGATTCCCGAGGCTGGACTGATGTGTTCTCCTTTTAATCATTTCTATAAACCTGAACTTTGATTCATGTCGCTTGCTGAGCGACACAGCTTCTGTAACACTAGATGGCGTCAAACTTCACACAAGACATTTTTTTTAAAACTGGCTTTTGTGTTACAAGTCATATTTTTCATGACCCCATGTCTCTCTTTTGGAAAACTTATACACATTTTATTCACATTTAATTATAAACAACAACAACAATTATTATTATAAATAACTTTTTTTTAAATTATTATTAGTTTGAAATAAGTTTCCTTTTTTATATTTTCAGTTTTTAATTTACAGTTTAGTCATTTTGTTGTACTTCTGTAATTTTTATTAGCTTTTTTCTATTTAAAGCTTCTGTCTATTTCAGATTTAGTTATTTTAGTAATGCAACTTAAACTTTATTTATTTCAGTTAGTTGACAAGGCAGCTTTTCTTATTTATTTTTTTTTAATTTAGGTTCCTTAGGTTGTAAGCTAACATTTCATCAAATATAAAAATGTTCTTATTAGTGCGGTCAAATGATTAATCACGATTCATTGCATCCAAAATAAAAGTTTTTGTTTACATAATATATGTGTGTGCTGTGTATATTTATTATGTATATATAAATACACACACATGCAGTATATATTTTGAAAATATTTACATGTATTGCATATATGTATATTCATATAATGTATACTATTTATAAATATATCTAATATATAAACATAATTTTTTTCTTAAATATATACATGCGTGTGTGTATTTATATATGCATAATAAATATACACACACATATATTATGTACACAAAAACTTTTATTTTGGAAGCGATTAATCGCGAGTAATCTTTTGACAACACTAGTTTTTATACACACTTTATTTTTATGTTTGTCAAAGTTAAAATTTTCAGTTAACAAGTTCATTTTTTACTGGAATGATTAAATTTATAAAAAAAAATAATAATTCCGGAAATTGTAATCTTTTCCCCTAAAATCACAGTTTAAGAGCATGCTGGCGACAACTGCTGGGGTTTGAGAAAAGAATATTGTTTTTATGTTTGGATTAAAATGCTTTGTCACCTTTCTGAAATCCTGTTATTTGCATGTCTGTTTTGCCCTTTACGCTATATTTGTTGTAATGGTTCTGGTGGACTGTTTCTCCAGCAGACACTCACCTGTCTCAGGAGCTCCTCCTGTCTCCTCTGGATGCGTTCTCGCTCCATCTGGATGCGCTGGAGCCTCATCTTCTGCTGGTGCTGCTGGGCGCTCATGGGGCCGCTCATGCTCATCATGGGCTGAGAGCTCTGCTGCTGGGGGCCCTGGACCTGGACCTGCTGCTGCTGCTGCTGCTGCTGCTGCTGGAGGTGCTGCTGATGGGCCTGCTGGCTCAGCACTGCCACAAACACATGACAGACACGCTCAGACACAGCCTTCACTCATCTGAGCAGAATTCAAGAACTTTCTCCATTCGGCAAGCTCTAAGCTGATTGGCTGGTTTCATTTACGAGGAATCAGGCATCTACAATGAGAGATACTTTATATTCTAAATTAGAGTTGTACTTGTTACTTGTGGATGGACAGAAACCATCATTTTAAAGTTTACAGGACACATTTCTGGTAATTTCTCCCGTGACTGGTTGCTTTCCACGTCAGTTGGAAGGTCATTTATATCTAAATGGGTTGTTCTTTGGCAAATAGCCAGGCTATATGCACATACTTAAAAGTCTGTCTGTACAAAACCAGACAGATTCATTAATGCAGGTTCTCTAATCCTCATGCTGAAATGGCAAATCATAGTGTTTCAAAATGCGGCTTTGTTTCTGATTGTCTGAGGAAAAACAGGTTAAACAAAGAAGGCACACAAACACAATGACTCAATTACAGCTGGCCAGAACGCAGCACGGAAAAGTGTTTACCAAGAAATATCTTCCCTGTCCTACTGAAAAAAGTACTGGCCTTAAAATGGCTTCAGTGTGGCCACCGACAACAGGCAAATCAAGTAAGTCCACTTTTGATGTTAGCTAGACAAGTCAGAATTTAGTTTTCGTGACAAATTTCTATCTTCTATCTGAGCCAAACAATTACACAGGATGCTTTGGCTCATAGCACTACTGTTCAAAAGTTTGGGTCGGTAAAACTGAGCTCTTAAGCCCAGTTCACATCAAGAATGATAACTATAAAGGTAACGATATTAGCGTCCACATGCACCAATATTGTCTGCTTATCCTAAGCGCACGCTCATCTGCCGCTTTAAATTCTCCAGCTTGTGACAGCAGGATTTAATCTGATTGGCTGTCAATGTTTTTATCGTTCATCAGTTGGAAAAAAATCATCCTGAAAGTGATTCCAACGATATCGTTTCTCTGTGTCTTTATCGTTATAGCTGTGGTGTGGACTCTGCCATTCTTTAATATTGAGAACGATTTTTAGAACTATATCTTTATCGTTATCTTTATAGTTTTCGTCCTTGGTGTGAACAGGCCTTTAAAGGGTAGTTCACTCAAAAATGAAAAAAGCGCGTACACACCTCACGCACCGGATGCCGTGCGCGCGCCCAAAGACAGTCCAACATAGTGGTGTATTAGAGGTAAAAATGTATATAAATACTGTTTGGTTTCTTGCACAAAACTTATAGATTTTGTTACCATTGCCATGCATTATACGACTGATAGACTGCAACGGTTGGAGTTAAAAATCTCCGTTTGTGTTCTACTGAAGAAACAAAGTCACTTACATCTTGGATGCCCTGGGGGTAAGCAGATAAACATCACATTTCATTTTTTGGGTGAACTATCCCTTTAAGCTCACCAACACATTTATTTGAATTTAAATTTAAACAATTTAAAACAACTGATTTCTATTTGAAGATAAACATAATATATTCCTGTAATGACAAAGCCACATTTCTGGCCATGTTTACACGCCGTTTTAAAACGAAAATGATCCTCGTCTACACTGGCGTTTTCACTGCATTTCAGAAACGATCTCCATCCACACTACACAACCGAAAACGCATCTCACATGACCATTCATGCAGGTGCAACAGTGAGCATGATGCTATCATTTACACGGTCGTCAAGGATACACAGAGCAAATGTGGGCAGCTGACATTTTCATAAGTCTCCATTTTGGTCCGTTTACACGGAAAAGCGACTTCGGAGTTTTCAAACTAAAACGGGCGCTTTCGAAAGTCTCCATTTTTGAGGGAAAAAGCCGGAGTAGTGTAAACTTAGCCTCAGAAGCTACCCATATAATCCAGTCGTGGTCCCTCAGAAATCATTCTAATATGCTGATTTACTTTTAAACAATCTTAATATTATCATTGTTGACAATAGTTGTGCTGCTTAATATTTTCGGGGAAACCGTGCTTAATGTTTTCAAGATTATTTAATGAATAGAAAATTTAAAAAATTCAAAAGAACGGCATTTATTTGAAATAGATTTTTAATGTAATAGCCTTCACTGTCAATTTGGATCAATTTGCTTAATTAAACATTAATTTCTTTGAAAAAATTATCTTGCTGACACAAAACATTTGAACTGTAGTGTCTCTTTCAGATTATAATATGTAAATATGCTCTGTTGTGATTGGCTAACGTCCAGGTAGCAGTGTAGTTCACACTGTTGATCACTAGGGTGGGCCTCGTTTAGATTACAGAAGAACAAGTTTTATATCATTTAGTTCAACTCAAAATGAACATTTTTGGAAATTGTTTACAATAATTGCTGTATTCTACTGTGATTTCATTTATCTCTGGACGAAGCCAGAGTTCTGGTTTGTGAAAAGCTGTTCTGTTTCAGTGTAAAGGACGTCTGATGTTCTCAGAGGAACGGACCGATAAGAAACAATGTTTGCTTCAAGGACTCAGGCAGAGTTTCACAACTGACATTACAGCACAATAAGATTCACATGCTTCACTTCAGTTCAAACTCAACCAGTTTCATGATGATAATCTTCTCATCGCACACAGGAAGCAATGCAATGTGAAGAGTGCTGGTGACTCCTGACCATATGGAGCACGTGTGTGTATCTGTGTGTGCGGCGTGTTTATCTGTCGGGTAAACCACTTTCACATCGACAAAACATTCCTGTAAAAGCCAGATGTGGGCTGAAAGAGTCGTGAGATATGGTGCAAACAAAGCACAGTCTTTCTGCTCTCCGGATCAGCTCGTACTGCTCTTGGATTAATTATTGTGCAGCTTATTTAAAAATAAAAAAGCTCACACCATGTCCATGGCCAATGATCAGGTGGCTGGAAAGGATTCAACAACCTTAAAACTAAGTTTGTATTCTGTTCTGTTTGCTGCAAACCTTAATAAGTGAAAATTAAATTTGGTCCCAATTTATGACAGACATCGTACAATACACTCTTAAAAATATAGATTATTTACTGGCACTGATGATTCCATGAAGAAACTTTAACATCCATTGAATTTTTCTATAGCAGAAAAGGTTCTATATAGGAGAAAAATAAGGGTGTTTAGATTATTAAAATGCATGAAATGGTTCATTTAAGAACTGTTCACTAAAAAAAAAGGTTCTTCTATGGCATCTCTGTGAAAACACCATTTTGGAACCTTTATTTTTAAAAGTGCACTTACTTTATGAAAAAGAATTTGATACAATATATTAATTCTTACATTGTGCTTACACTTGTTATTACACATGTTATTACGCTGTCGACTGTCCACTAAACTTCTAATATTCAAAATTTGGTAGCACTTTATTTAACAGTCCTGTTTTACAAGTATGTAGAGAAATCTAGCATACATATACAACCAAAGTATACTTTGGTCAATTGTTACCTTACATTACTGTAAATGCACGTACTTGTAAAACAAAGTGTAACTCAAAACACAATAGCAGCAAATGTAAATGTGAATCTCTCAAGAGTATTATAAACCATCATTTACATCATTTACACTAAGTACATTTTTAAAAATGTAAGTACATAGTAGTTACAGATTCATAAACAGGAACCCAATGTTCTTGAGATTTACAGTATGGTTTAGAACAAAAACAACAAAAAAAGACTCTTATTATGTAATCAGGTAATGCTAAGTGTGCTCACCAAGAGAATCAGTGTTTTTTGCTGTGTTGCTACAGTATGTGGTTGCTGACTGGTTTAAAGGGCATTGCTAGCATAATGGATTTAAGAATTTTAAGAAAAGAAAATCTAAAGAAAAAGAGATCCACTTGTATGTATGAATGCAATGCAAGTCACTTTGGATAAAAGTATCTGCAAAATGTATAAATGTAAAAGTACTGGTCAAAAGAGCACATACCCAAGTCTCTGTAACTTTCAGGTCTCTAGATATGGCTCGGGTCTCTCATTCAACGTAAAAAAAAAAAAATACAAATGTTTGCTTGTTTTATTGTCTGTCAGACCTAAATTATAAGTCTGAGTGAATAAGTAATGTAATAAGCAAGAGCACACCTCTCCTCAGCAAGTCACTTGATTTGAAGTAGCATACTTGTAGTTTGTTCAAATCCCCAACCTTCAAGTATGTCCTAAACATCTGCACAGGCCCTTCTCAAATGTGCAAAAGACTCAATCAAACTTACTGGGTGGAAAAAGTTGAAGCCCATCACCCTCTGTGTATCTCAGTTCTCTATAAATGGATTTCTGTTGGAGGGGGTTACATAATGCACAAGAGAAAGGTTTCAAACTGGCACTTAACCAATTTCCTTGTTAGATTAATGCAGTGATTCTTCAGACTTGCTATAGACAGTTTCAGGCTACCAACTGTCTAGTGAACAGGAAGACAACACGTTAACTATCGAAGTGTGATAAACCAGGTCAAAATGTCAAGAGATACCACCAATTATTAGTATTATCACTCAAAACGAAACAAATCTGCATCACGTAAAGAAGCCAGCAACTAAACTCTACTAAACTCGACAATCATCACCAGGCAGGAGCCGAGGATTATCACGGTTTGCTTTCTTTATAAGATTTGCAAACATTTATTGACATCAAAAAAGATCTTCAAAGGATCAGTTTTATGGATGGGGTGGAGGATTTGGCAACCGAGCAGTTGAGGTGAAGCAAAGACGGCCTTATATGGTCAGATGAAGAGGAGACATTCGCTAGTTCAGATCTCACTTCTGTCACTGAAGTCTTCAACTATTTTTACTACTAATAAGATATTTTGCATTGTGATATTATTTTCCATGACAATTCAAGGGTTAGTTCACCCAAGCATGAAAATTGTCATCAATTGCTCACCGTCACTTAATTCTACACATATAAGACTTTCGTTCATCCTAGAAACACAAATAAAGATACTTTGAAATCTGACAGGGTTCTGTTCACTGAAAGTCCATTCTACCAAAATGTGCTTTCTTGATCCAGAAGAACCAGTCTGGTTTGTTCTCGCGTGTCAAGCATT